GTGGAAAAGGAGGAAGAAAAAGGATGGGGGCGGCGGAGATGCTGGGTTTGGGTTGGGCGTTGGTGACGGCGGGGGGTTTGGTCGGGATTAATTGTGTAGGTTGGGGGTTTTTAATTGTTGTTACGTTTTTAATTTTTTATGTTTTTTATATTTAAGTTAATTATTTTTAACTTCAAATTAAATATTTTTTAATTAAGCAAACTAACGGAATTGAGAGATATAGGACTAAATTTGTTAACTATTATAATTACGGGGATGAAATCGGGAAAATTAAAATCATCGTAACCATATTTGATTTTGAGATAAATCGTAGTGACCGAAAATGTAATTAATCTTTTAAAATGTATGTAAAACCAAAGAAAAAAAAATTAGCCGCATGTGAAGCTTAAAAGTTGGGGAAAAGGTTTCATGGCATGGCACGGACATTCAGACAAAAAGTTAATCAAGGACAGGACTAGAGGGAGTCACGGGCTCATTTTAAACTATTTCAGTGGTCCCACCCCACCCATGCTCCCCTCATGTGAGGCGGTGACATTGTGACTGCGACGTGGTACGGCGCTGAAGTCTAAAATAGGAGATAGTATTGGGTAGGAGAAATTGTTGTGTAGGGCTGTTGCATAGAGCAGTGGGACCCGCCCTCTCGTGAGTGTGCTGGTACCTAATGTTTTGTGATTATGTGGTTTTGCTCTGCTACTGGGAATTAATGATCATCTTCGACATACAATCATGTTTGGATGTGGTTTTCGAAATTATGGGACTTCCTTTTCCTTGGTTGTTTCAACTTTCATGAATGGCCTCAATGCCAATCTGTATTTAGGTCCAATTTGTATATTATTGTTGAAGCCCAAAAAATCTATTGTTGGGTCTGAATATATTCTCGGTCCAAAACGATATATTATTTAGAAAAGACCCCATTTGGAGCACACGAAAGTCCGTCATGCACGAGTCACACTCCACGTGCCATGCCAAATAAATGATCTGTCATACTATGAATCGAGATTAAAATTACAAAATACATTAGCTATACAAATCCATGCTAATTATCCCATTAAGCATCACAATTAAAAACATGCCAAGCGACGTGTCATGCCAAGCACGAAATCGTTATTTCGCACCCAACCACACTACAAGCCTAAGCGAGCCCAAGCCGCTTAAATACCTGATACGAACCCGATACGAACCATCACAATAATCCAATGATAAAAAGCAAGCCACATCAGCTAATTTAGTTTTAGTGTTATTTTAAAGACACAGAATGATGAATAAAAGAATAATTTATTGTTGGTTGAGAAGTGATGGACTTGAACTGTGGATCCACCTCAGTCCAAAAGATTCTTCAAGGATTTCTAAATCGCCTCTTTTTATCTATGTTTTCTCCCTTTCCCTCTCTTATCCAAACTAATTTTGTTCGGTGATAAGGTTCTTCGGCTGCTCTTCACAGAGACATACGATGCTCCAAAAAGACTCACAAATGAATTGAAATCAATTTTTTGGAAGGTGAAAAAAAAAAAAGCATCGGGAGCCAAAGTATTGGTAAAAGGGCTAATGGAACAGAGTTAGCCATTAAATTAAAAAATAATAATAATTTAAAATTAGTGTAGCTTATGTGGCTTGAGCTTCAACCATTGGATTTTTGTGATGGTTCAGATTAAGTCAAATGTGTGTAAATGCACAATGCGTAAATGTAGAGGTTCGGGATCCATTTTAACTATCTTTTTTTTTGCCCAACGATTCATTTTGGACTACACTTGTGAAATAAGTTTTGTGCGAAGACACTATGAGACCTTGTCGTTGATGTACTACACAACCAGCAGGCACACACACAAGCCACAGGAGAACAAAGCAAACACACACCCACAAAGTAAAGCAAACACATAGAGAACACAAGAATTTATAGAGGTTCGGCGTTGTGCCTATGCTCTCTTGGTGACCCATCCGAGAAATTCACTAGTATACAATAACAACTTTGGTTACAATGAAGAATCCCCTTAGCTCTCACAAGAAACCCTTACTCTCTTTTCTCTCACTCTTGCTCAAACCCAATTTGATGCCCTTTAAAAACCCTAGCACTAACATGCCTATTTATAGGTAGTAAAATCATATACTGAATAGGAAACCTAAAACTCCCCAAAATCCAAGGGAAAACGATCCTAAAATGAATAGGATTCGCATATGCAACGTGACTACCGCTCGAGCCTCCTCTTGAGTGTCCGAATTTTGACATTCTGCCGCTCGAGCGCCAGAGCCCAATCACTAGGTTTGCAACCCCTTGATTGCTTATTTCCTTCGTTCCTTCTACATCCAATAGGTGAGCCAACCTCAACAACAAGTATAACACCAAGTATGTCTATCATTTAATTTCTGAATGATAGAACTGATTGCAAACTTTTATTAAAAGGTCAATGACAATTCAAGCACTACAGAAGCTCAGAAGCATATATATGAAATATGGATTGCATGTGTATGATTTCTTACTAAAATAGCTAGCTAGCACAGTAGTATAGTGCAAGTTCTAACTGCCACCAAGTCTTCCCAAGTGCTCAAATCAATCTAGAAAGTTCTCTAAGGTGGTAGTGGACCCAGTTCTAATCAGATCCATCGATCTCACCCTTTGTTTACTTTTTATTTGTTGTTTTATTCTTTTTCATTGTATTAGAGAAATTTTACAGTCTTCATTTTTCTTGAGGAATAGAAAAGAACCAACATTGAACGAGTTCCCCATTCACTACACAATCTTTTGATTATAAATCAGTTTCTTGGTGTGCAAGATTATTCCTTCAAGTTTATTATGGTTTTTACATTGTTAATAGTGACATGTTCACAATTTTATACAGTCTCCTAGCATATATATACACACACACACACATATAATGAGTTTCAGTTGTGGGACATCTTTGTAGGGCCCACCAGACATTGTATTTCAATTATCTAAACCATCTAATTTTTAGACATTACCTCAAAGATCATCTCTGGGAAAAATCACTTGAATTCAAAACCATTTGACCACTTAATTAGATAGTTGTTATTATAGTTTTTTTTCTTGAAGCATTGTGTTCGTCTATTGTGTTGGTCTCAACTAGATGCCTTAATGATTTTCAAGTTATCTGATTTTTTGCATAGATGATCTATGAATGAAGACTTGAAAAATAGACGGTTTGGATTGTTAAAAATAAAATAAAAAAATTTGTAGGGAACCCTAAAAAGTGTTCCTTAAATAAAGTTATTTGAGGCATCCCTCAATAGAAGAGGACAATAAGAAGTAAGCCTTAGTGAAGATTAATTTTTTTGTGTGGTTGTTGGGGCTCTTGGGGTTGCTTTTGCTTAGGTGGCTCTTGACTTGAGATGCCTTTAGTGATGCTTTCAATGGCTTAAAATGGTGTCCATCCACTCCTTAGAGCATTCACAATGATGCTCTATATTTCTTAGCTAAAATTTAGCTAAAAATATAAAAAAGCTATTTTAGGAGCTCTCTAAAAAATTTCAGCTCCAACCATACTCCATAATTTGGAGAGTCATAAATGCTATAACTCTTTTTTGATTGGTTCATCTTTATTATAAAATAAAATAAAAAATAGTTAGCATTAAATAAAGATTTAAAATACTCATTAAATAAAGTAGCATTAAATTATAGGGAGCCACTAGGAGTCATTTCTCTCTCCTAAGATTTATGAGCTCTTAGAGAACTCCCTATTTTAGGAGGTGGATAGGGAGCATGGTTGGAGTTGCATTTTTACAATGCCTCCCTAAAATTTGTCTAAGGAGGTGGTTTAGGGAGCCAATTGTGGATGCTCTAAGTCTTCTGGCCGGCCACCAAAGTATTTTCGACTGCTCAAGCTTGGATTGGAGTTTATGACAAGTCCGTGGGTATTGGCCATGGTGACAAGTTTGGGTTTGAGCAACAGCTTAAGTTTGGCTTGGTTGATGTAATCTAGCAATAAGATAGTAACTCTAAATTCTTGGGGATTTAAATTTTGATGGTGAATTAAGATGGAGAATTAA